CGGCGGCCGCAACTTGGCGGGCCAGATGCCCCAGGGCGCGGCGGCGCTGCCAGCCTGCCGCTGCCGCCCCTGCGGGCCCGGGGCGCGTCTCCTTGGGCGGCGCTGCCCGCGGCGCGCGGCGTGTGCAGCGAGCGAGTGGAGGTATGTGTGGCGGGCGCGGCTGGAGCTGCCGCCGCCGCCGCCGCCGCCGCCGCCGCGCAGGCAGGTCCTAATGCCTGTCACTTCCCAGGACACTGGCAGCGGCAGCCCGGAGCCCCCGAGCCCTGGGCAGGTTTGCCTGTCCTTCCCCGCGATCTGATTGGATAAAGTGGGGGCTCGACGGTGGCCGGCGTGGGACAGTCTGGCTGTGGCAGGGGTCTCGGAAACCATGGGTTATTGCAGTGGCAGGTGCACGCTTATCTTTCTCTGTGGCATGCAACTGGTAAGTGACGCTTGGGTCCTCTTGTTCGGTGGCGTGCCTTTGAGAGAGTGGGCAGGGAGTGTAGTGAGAGGTCTGGCGTTGAGCAGGACGGAAGGAAAAGAGAAGAGAAAAGGTGACTTGCATTACCTGTATTTAAAAGGATTTTAGGGGTGCAGGAGAAGTGAACCACTCTGCCCACCCCCATTCCTGTCCCTCTAAAGACAGTTTTGCAGGTGCGGATTAAACTTGTTATCTTCAATTTCTTTAAGGGAATCGAGATGAAGCTTTTCTTCTGTGCTTGGCGTCCCTGTTAGTGTAACAGGGCGACTGTCCTATATATTTCAGTGTATATGTGTTACGTGGAAATACAGAATCTCAGACTTTTCTTTATATACTTGTTTTGCAGAGTCCTTATTTATTGTCATTTGATTTTTTTTTAAAAGGGAATATATCGTCTTACAATTTTCTTAAAAACTCCTTGTTTAGGGCAGACGATATTCTTACAGCATTCTGAGCTAGAAAGCCACAGTGAGTTCTAAAAGTGTGTACATTGGAGAGAAATACTTGGATAAACTCTGTTAACACCATTGGCACGAATGAACCAGTAACCTTTAAATAAGAATTGCTGCAATTCCAAGAAAAAAAAAAATCTTGTCTTTCATTAAGTATGGCATTGCCAGTGAAATAGACACTATTGTCTGTTCTCTCAGGATGCAGGGTCCAGTGTACTTTTTGAGGAATGTCCTTTAGTTGCCAAGAAGGCAAGAAGGCAATAATGCCTCTGAGTTTCAGTTCCTAAGGGCAATGGAAGCGGGGGCTGAGGGGAAGGTAGGGGTGAAAAATTACCACACTAGCAAATGGTTAATTTGAAGTGGGAGGTGCTTGCTGCCTTGACACCAAGTAGCTTTCCATAGGAAGTATCCATTAATCTAAATAATTACCCTCGTTGGTTTTCTAAAGGGTGGGAGGTTGTAGGATGGAGGACAGTTATTGAAAAAGCCCAGTCCTTAGGCAGGCAGTGCTCAAAAGAACAAGAATTTGTTGTTGAAACTGACAGAAGAATTTCTTAAGTTTTCTTCACTGTTTATCCGTTGCGAAGACCAGACCAAGAGAGAAATGTATTTTTTTTTTTTTTTTTTTTTTTTTTTTTTTTTTTTTTTTTTTAGCTAAAGAAGAGTTTTGGGTTTTGGGAGCATTTCAGCTTTGGCATTTTTTTTTTCCTGAAGAAAGTTCTCTGATGATGTATTCTTGAGTGAATTATGTACTATAGACTTGGTTGTCAGAAAAATAAAAAAAGAAGAAACTATAAATATAAATTTGGGAGTTTTATGTTTTCTCAGTGCTATGTACACCAGCTTCTATATCTCTACCATAGATCTGTGTAAGTTTTGCAGCACAAGACTTTTGCCATTAATGAGAAGGCTAACCAGAGTTTACTTTGTCAGACTATCTATACAGCACATATATTCCAAGTTGTATTGCATTTTCCAAACATTTTTAGTTTTGTGTATGCTTCGGGATATGTTATTTTCAGTTTTATGTGTCACAACTCAGCAGCTGTAACTGCTGAGTTACAACTGAGAGTAGGTTGGTGGGTAGAACATTCTTCCGTCCTTTTCAGCTGAAAACATGCAAGGTAACTCCTAATCATTTAATGTAAGAGGGTTTTCATTAATGTAGTAGGGCGGTTATATATAGTAGGGTCAAATGACATTTTGTGTGGTGGATATAACTTCTTAAAGTCATTGGAAAATGGAAATGTGCTAAGGAGAAAGCTAAATGTCCAAGCGTGATACAGCTGTAGTTGATTCCTGTTTGTGCCTGTATTCATGTCCGTGTGCTTGTGTCTACATGTAACCATGGATTCTAGGGGAGCTATAATACTTCATGGAGAAGAAGCCTTAATTATGGCTAAGTTCTCCAGCCAAATCGAATTGCCTGTAAGAAAGAAACACTAAGCCTAGGCAAGTGCACATTTGGGTCCTGGAAAGTATTTCACGATCTGTGAGAATTGTGGTCCTTTTCCATTCCCACTTCTGTGTCACCAGGCTAATATAAATAGCAGCCATGTTAATGCAGAGGCAGAACACCAAAAAAAAAAAAAAAAAAAAAGGACAAAGAAAATTAATTGTTTTGATGGGGTGAAATAATAATCACAGCCTTAAGGGCCTAAAAGATTCTTGTTAATTGTTGTGCTGTAGAGATATTTATGTACTTTGACATAAAATAAGTCTTTCAAATAGTTGTAGAAAACTCATGAGTGGAAATAAATGTTTTTTTTCCTATCCTTATAGATATAAAGTGTGGATGTATTTTTTAGCAAGTCTGGGGTAATTTTATTTTACATGAAACTCAGATTCCCATCATAAGTTTTGACTTGTGTATCATTGACTGACAGAAAAGTTCACCAAGTTTTGTTGACTTCTGAAGTGTTTGGCATTTGAACTCTTCTTACTTTCATAAACGCACCCTAGATTTACCAAAAGTACTGGAAACCAAAGATACATTAAGTTTATATTTAGAATGCCCTGTTTTAGTTGAAAATTTTCATCAATTTACAGCTAATTTTAGAAAAGGTATCTTTAAGTACTGTAGAAATAAAGACCTCACTTGACTGGTTATTTTCAGAGCAGATGTGGTATTTTGGATACTTAACATGTGAAAAACAGGGTCAGAATCTCCTCATGAGTTTTCTTGTTAGGAGTTTATATCCTTGCTGTGAATTATATCATATTAATATAATATACTCGACAGAGTGGAAGCACAAATAAACATTTATTATTTAACTATCTGAAAATCAGATTGTAAGATAAATGACAATTCTGCAGTATGATAATTCAATCTAAAACTTCCATTCAATGAGAAAGTGTCTGCAAGTATCAGAAATTGAAATCTCCGAGCTATGTGGGTAAACTGGCTTCAGATATCGGGGTGATTCTTGTAAGGAGAAGTGTGATTTCTAGGAAGAGATTTGCCACATGGGCAGAATCTGGAAGTTAAGCTCATAATCGCTAGAATGTAATTTCCTTGTTATCATTCCTGCCTTCATTGCTCAGAAACTGAAGATTTCAGATAGTAGCAGGAATCATCACTGTATTTCCAGTGATGGGTTTAGTCCTATGGGCAAGAACAACTTAGCTTCTTCTTTACAACCTCAGGCAGCTTGTGAAAGAGTCTACCGTTTATCCCCCAGCTTTTCTTTGAGTCAAAGGCTACTTTATACATATGTTGGAAAAAGTATTTTAATATTTCCCAGTGGGGGAAAGAATAACTTGGTTATAATATGAAAGAATATAACTGATTTTAAATAAAAAACCCAACTTTCTTCCCAGGTAAGGGAACTTCAGATCACACGCATTTTGGGGATGTCAGAATACTGTGTTGGGAAGGACTGTATGTCTCTGAAACTACTGAAAGGACGTCTAGGCTTGCTTTCATAGATTACCGCTTGAAGATGGCATTCTTGCCAAGTGATGTATGCGATATTGCGAACTTGGAGCAGGCGCCACACACAAACAGGTTAGCAGCAGCGTGTACGGCTGTGTGAAACAGCACACTTGAAAATGAACAATGATAGTTGCTTTTAACTGTACAGCTGTCACGCACACTTAATTAAAAAAGGGCACATATGCAGATATAAAGAAAACAATATTCCTTCCACGATAGAGCACTGTGCGGTGTTCACCACTGTTTGGTGAGCATTTGATTACTTTGGAAAAACTGAAGCTGGGACATGAAGTGGCAAGGGAAGTGTAGGTGGAGCTTACCGTGACCTTAGGGTGACCTTTGAGATGTTGTTCATGGGTCTAACTCATGCAGACGACTGAAAATTCCCATATGACACCTTAGAAGGTTCTGAAATTGAAACATCCCGAGACGGTTTCTAAGTTGTAGAATGGCTTTTCTTGTTTGTAATGTTCTCTATGCACGTACAAAAGCATTTTTTGGTATATCTTTTTAGCTTAAAATACCCTTGCATTGTAATTAAGCATATCTATTTTTTAATTTGATGTTTGCCAAGGAAAGTATACCGAATTCTCTTGGTATTTACTCTTGCACCTTTCTTTTGAACAGCAAGTTGTTATGCTGTTATATACTCCATTGCAATAAGCCTACTTGTGCAGATCTCCTTCCCTCCTTCCTTATACCAAGGCTTGGATAGGCAGCACTCTGTGATGAGGGTCACCGTGTTCTCTGGTGTGGAGCCCAAACATAGGGACTGTTCAAGGAAAATGACTGGCTGTTGTCACCTCCTTTCCTCCACGGTGCTTCTTACTTTGGGGGCTAAATTTCTACTTACCTAACTAAAAATTTTAGCGTAGAAGTGAAGGATACCTTGAAATAGGAAGTTTGCTTTGAAAGTAGAATGTTTACAGATATATTTTTTCCATATATATATATATATACACACACACACACACACACACACAATCAGAGACAGAAACAGGTTTTCACACTTTTGTCTTTATAACTGAAATAAAAATATCACAATTTTAGCATTAGTTGCATTACATATTGTTTTATTTTACAGGTCCCTGTATTTTGCGCACAATGGTAGATTTTTAAACTAATGTTGGTAAAAATGAGAATTATTCTTTTCAATTACCTTGTAACACACAAGCATCAGAAGTCAAACTGACATATAGGAAAAGTGTTCTCCTATATCCCGCTGTTTGCGACCACTTCCCTGTGGAAACTTGAAAGCTCTTTTTCGTAGCAGAGTAAAATACAATAATTTTTCACTTAACTGTGGAGCAGATTTTGAGGAAAACATCATTAGGTCATTTCGTCGTGTGAACATCATAGAGTTTATTTACACAGACGCGCACGAATCACCTGCTACATAGCAGGTGGTATAATATTGCCTTGGTCTTTTATGTGTCTGCTGCTAAATGAAACATTTCAGACTGTGTGGCTGTATATACACACCTTTGGGGCAGATGTATTCCATGCATGGTTCCTTTTATAACACTTCTTTCATAATAGTAGTTGGATGAAATAATATTTACACCTAAGGTCTC